ATACCAGAGTTGTATTGTTTCGCAACAATTCAAATACATTGCAAACAATTTGTCTCATTTAGATATGAAGTTTATAAATCATTTTGTGATTAAAACCCATTGTTTTATTAAATCACTCGACAATTGTAAATCATTTTATATTTGTACAGCAATTATATCTTACGCTATCAGATGTACAGCACTATTATGTATGTTAGCAATAGGACCTCCAAAAGGCAGATCAGTAGCTATTACTGTGATTATTGAAAATATTTTAATACTTTTCTATTTAACTATTGTTTGTAATATTATTCCCAATTCTTTGGATAATTTAATCCATAAAATAGTCGTTCATTCCTCTGAAATAGTTGCTAAAAACAATGAAAGAGCAGATTATTATAGGTTTAATAACAATTCAATTGTAACTGATTTAATTTACTTACAAAATAAAATGGGTTTCACAGCACTCGGCGTATATCGGATTGATATTAAAACTTTAATTACATTATTTACAATTATTTTATCATATTTTGTAATTCTTATTCAGACTAACTCTATTAATTGACAGTTTAATTATTAACACCATTTAATTTTAAGCACATGTTAAAACCGAAATCTGTTAAAATCGCATGTGTCAGAACCGGGGGTAGACTGTACATTATAATAACTAAAATATTGCCTAATTAGATATTTGGTATTTATATTATTTATTCTTGTCAAGTAAAAACATATACCCTAAAATTCCGTGCATTACCCGCGGGTTATCCATAGAAAAAAGTCAAATTTTTGGAAAATATTTGGGTGCGGGTTATACATGGGGTGCGGGTTATCTATTGCAAAAAAATATTACAAAATTATTACTTCTTAATAATAAAATTTTTATTAAATAAATTAATAAAATTACAATAAATGTCAATTAAATCCGTCAAAATCAGAATCTATTTCAAATGAAGATTTAATATTCATTAAAACAACAAAATTCACAATTAAAATAATATGAAATCAAAACTCATTATAAAAGCACATGTTTTTGTGTCAATAAAAAGGTTTTAAACCACGAAATATTGAATTGTATGTAAAGGGTGTTAATTATACGATACTTTGCCTCATTTATTAGTATTGCTTCAATGCAAGTTATATAATAAAAACTACATCAATTTTTAAAGTTTATTTAATTTTAAAAGAATTTTAAAGAAAAGAATTGTTGATTAATAATATTTTAATATTAATCAATAAATATAAAGTATACATAAAACATTCTAGAAAACAACCGGGTTTGTTAAATTCACATTACTGATAATTAAATGTTAAACGGTTTTAAAATTACACGTTACACGTATTATTACACATCAACACAATTCACACGTGTTTAAAATGATATACTATTACAATGCTTTCATGTTTAAAAGCGAGATAAGGAAAATGATCGTATACGCCTTTTACATGCGGGTTATACATGGGGTGCGGGTTATCTATGGGTAGCATTTTTATTTTTAAATATCACAAATTTTTGAAGTGCGGGTTATACATGGGTGCGAGTAATGCACGGAATTTTAGGGTAATTTAAAATATTTATGGTTGAACAATATAAATAACAACAACCACTAATTAGTTAAATGTAAATATTGTAATATTCTGTCAAAATAGACATTTAGTCAACACATCTATTATAATAATACAGAATTTAATCGTATTTATATTATTACAAATATTATTCTAAATAATGAATATTTAATTCTCAAATAAAATGCATTTAAATATAAAATTAAATAATGTTACTGTCTATTAATAAAACGTTATTGATTATATTTCATTATGTTTCAATTTATTTTTTATATTAAATTAAAATATTGAATTAAACGAACATTTAATTTATTCTATAATATATTGTTTATTGATAAAATATTTACTATTTACTTATCTAATATAAATATTCAATAATTGCAACATTTTGTAGATAGATTTATTGCAAATATAATAAACATTAAAAACAAAATATTATTAAATTATTGTTTTATTATTGTTATGTGAATAATAAATAACCAAAAATGAGTACATCTTCATTAAAAGGCTTAAAACTATTAATAAATTATCACAAGTTTTATGGAAATATATTTCTAGCTTATAATTTCAGTGGAAATGAAAAATGCATATCAAAATTTGCTCAATATATATTTAGTTGTTTTATAATAATTGGCATTTGTTACCAATATTCAAAAATCACAAGTTTTATGGAAATATATTTCTAGCTTATAATTTCAGTGGAAATGAAAAATGCATATCAAAATTTGCTCAATATATATTTAGTTGTTTTATAATAATTGGCATTTGTTACCAATATTCAAAAGATATTTATCATATCATGGATACTGGCATTGAAGATCTTGGCATTAGTTTTTCAAAACATAAACTAATCTGCATTTTATATATCTGGGAAGAAATTGCTTATATTATACAAACTATTGTTGTAATCATTGTTATGGCTGTGAAAAGAAGACAAATCCTAGATTTGATGAAAAGTCAATCATTTATTTATATTGACGATAAATATGAACGGAAAGTCGGTTTTTACACAACTTTTATTGCATTTGTTTTGCCTCTTTTCATTGTATTCACATACGTTTTCTTGGATATACTTTTTCATTTAAGCCAGGTTAAATTTGAATATTACAATATGATTGTTATTTTGATTGTATACCTCTTGTCTGTTAATTTTCAGATAAGTATGATATCATTGATTGCATACCAGAGTTGTATTGTTTCGCAACAATTCAAATACATTGCAAACAATTTGTCTCATTTGGATATGAAGTTTATAAATCATTTTGTGATTAAAACTCATTGTTTTATTAAATCACTCGACAATTGTAAATCATTTTATATTTTTACAGCAATTATATCCTACGCTATAAGATGTACAGCAATACTATGTATGTTAGCAATAGGACCCTCAAAAGGCAGATCAGTAGCTATTACTGTGATTATTGAAAATATTTTAATACTTCTCTATTTAACTATTGTTTGTAATATTATTCCTAATTCTTTGGATAATTTAATCCATAAAATAGTCGTTCATTCCTCTGAAATAGTCGTTAAAAACAATGAAAGAGCAGATTATTATAGGTTTAATAACAATTCAATTATTACTAATTTAATTTACTTACAAAATAAAATGGGTTTCACAGCACTCGGCGTATATCGGATTGATATTAAAACTTCAATTACATTATTTACAATTATTTTATCATATTTTGTAATTCTTATTCAGACTAACTCTATTAATTGACAGTTTAATTATTAACGCAATTTAATATTAAGCACATATACAGTATAACTAAAAATTGCAAAAAATTTGCAAATTGGGGCGCACAACAAACATTTCATCTCTCTCTCTCTCTCCCTCCCTAACTCTCTCTCTCTCTCTCTCTCTCTCTCTCTCTCTCTCATAAAAATATTTCAAAGCAAACTGTAACAAAACAATTACTATGAAATTGTGAGAATAAATCATTTTTACTGAATAATGTTTGCATAGATTTAAGTTTAGATTTAAGTTTAAATTATAAGAGTGTGTAAAACAGCTGTCAATGCATTGCAATACAAAAGGGCTATCAATGAGAGTGTGTATCAAATATGAGCTCAAAGAGTGTGTATAAAAGGACTATAAACATAAAGTACCATGGTACAACAAACAGCGCTGTAAAAGGTTAAATGATCATGATCAGGTGTATGATAGCTCAAAAAATCCTTTTATCATTTTACATTTATGGTAACTTGTTATCAAATCATGCAAAACATACAAAACACTAAAAACAACTTTTTAAATATTTTAAAATAATCTTATTTAGTTTCAATGTATAAAAGTCCTTAATATAAATGTCCTTTAATTACAAACTTACAAATGTGTGCACACATCACATCACGTCTAATATTATGCTATTTATTATCATTTAGTAAAATGTACTCAAATATCTATAAAAACCCAGAATTGCATTGAATAATAAAATTATTTGATTCAATTAAAATCAATTTAACACATATTATAATTAACCGAAACAATAATGCCAACCAAATGGGAAGCGCTATACACGCCGACAGCACCCAAACCTATGAACACGTACTCGCAGGCCATACGGGCCGGTGATTACGTGTTCATTAAAGGTCAGGTGTCCTTTGATAACCGCATCGATGATATGCTTTTGGAACCGCTCGAAGACGCTTACGAACAGGCCTTCCGTAATGTATTGGCCATAACGGGCGCCGCCGGCGGGACATCAGATGATATCATTAAGATTGACATTTTTGTCAAAGACTTGAACACATGTCCGCTCATTAATCGGGTAATGGAGAAGCTGTTCCGGAAGCCATACCCGGCCCGCACTTGCGTTGGTGTAGATCAGATACCACGGGGTGGAGACATGACACTCGACGCCATCGTTTATTTACCACAAAAATAATTTATGTTTTAATTAATTTTATTAAATTTCTATTTGTATTTTCAATAAACTTATATTGCTTTTATTTAATAAAAAGTGTTTGTTGTTATTAATTGATGTGATTGTAAAATCTAATTTAAATTGTTCTCACTATACAACTATTGACAATTAAATTTAAACATGAACACAAATGGAAGTTTATATAAATTTATTCAATTTTTAACTAACAAGGTAAGAATGATTTCAAACAAATCAATTTAATAAAGTATGATATTTCATTAGATTCTATACTTTCATATTACAAAAATAAATCCTATGTACACTATTCGACAAACATGACCAACACACCTTTATTTTAAATTTTAAAATTACACTAAATTTTGTAAAAACCGAACTTGATAATTGATTGTTTGAAAGTTGAAAATTGAAAGTTTGAAAGTTATTTAAATCTTATATAACTTTTTAATTAATTAAAACAAATAACTTTATGAACAATCAGTAATACAAATTACAAAATTCTACATTATTTTGTAAAATATTATTTATTTTATTTAAACAAAATTTTAAAGTAAATAAATAAAATATTTATTTTTGAGGCAAATATAATATCGCATCGGCAACAATATTGCCAACAGCGGTAACACTGTAAACGGATACAGTGGTACGGGTGGGGTAGGGCTGACCGATCCACTTATCAATTGCCGTATTTATGTGAGGCGTTTGTTTGGTTAGATTTGTTGTGAAAATACCCATTTTTACGATACTATTGGCTGATCCGCCGGCGCTTTCCGCCACTGAAACGATATTTTTGAACGCCCTTTCCGTTTGACCATAAATATCGGTATCAATCGGACGGCCAGTAGTCATGTCCACCGATGTCTGGCCCGAAACGAATACGAAATCACCGGCTCTGATAGCCTGCGAGAAGGCACCGGACGGTACCGGCGCTCCCTTTATAATGATCTCTTGTTTGGCAGTTGGCATGACTTGTGTTGAAATTTGAATTTTTAGTTTATTTTATGTGATAACTAATTGGTTGTAATTAAATCATTTGTGTGTTTATATATGGCTCACCAACTCTGTCATAGGGAGTGATACTTGTCCTTAACCACAAGTCCTCACACAGTTGTTACTGTATGTTATTATAACTTCTCTCTCTCTCTCTCT